TAGCCTTGGCATGTTAAAAATAGACAGAAAGACACAAAAGCCAAAAAGTAAGATTTTTAAAAAATCAATATATAAGATGTAAAGCTTTATATTCAATATGAAAACTAATAATATATATATATTTATTTATTTTTGATTTTTTTTTACAGTATGGATATATTATGATAAAGTAACCGGACTTCCTAAGGGAGATGCAACTATAACTTATGAAGACGCTGACTCAACAGCAGCTGCTATCAAGTATTTTGATAACCAAAAGTTCCTTGATCAGGTTTGAATATTAAATTATTCCATAAATTATATTAATAAATAAAATGATTGTTAATTTATTAATCTTTAAAAAAATTTAAGGTTATAAAAGTAGAGATGTCTGTGCGAAAAATATCAACCTCGGGATTTAGAGCTCGTGCTAGAGGTAGAGGACGTGTACTTACCAGGGGTAGTCGAGGTGGCCCTCCTCCCCGTGATGGTGATTGGGCATGTGAATCGTAAGCATTTGTATCCATTGTAGCAATCTATCTAACAAATAATATAATGGGTTGACGGTTTTATTTTGGAAATTAGATGCAGTGCTAATAATTTCGCTAGAAGAATGGAATGTTACAAATGTCACACACCTCGTGCTAATGCATCAGGGGAAGGCGGATACGGTGGAGGTCGATATTCCGGAGCACCTAGAGGTGGGTATAGAGGACGTCGTGGTGGCCCTCCTTATAGCAGTGGTAGTGGTCGTTATGGTGATGACGATAGAGGCTATGGAGGCGGAGGCTATCGCAACAGCGATAGCTCACATGGTTATGAACAAGGATACGGGAGACAGAACAAACAAGACGATCGTCAAGATCGCAGGGATAATTCGAGATATCGTCCTTATTAAGATATCTGAGGATTTTTACAGGCTTATAACCTCATTATTAAATGCATGCTTTGTTTTTTTTTCTTTCTTTTAAGAGTCATGAGAGTCGATCGTGATTCTCATGACCCACGATGTTGATTATGGTGATTGAAATTCGTTGGGATCAAACATTCTATAGTTTATTTGAGATAATGAGTAAAGTTGAGAAGAGAAAAGGGCAAAAAAGGAAAACGTACAAAAATTCCTTTTGAAAAAAAAATTTGTTTTATACGAGAACATAAATTGTGTATGGTTATATAATATATTTATATTGGGTAGGTATAAGATGGATTCTCAGTTCCAAGGAGAATGTTCATAAAATATCAAGAAAAAATATAGGAAATTAATATCTATTAGCGTGAATGGTTAAAGAATTAGTTTCGGGTAGGTATTTATGGTTATATAAATATAAGGACCTCCCGGAAAAAAATGATATTTTTTGATGTGTATAAAGGATTTTTTTTTTTTAAAAAAAAGGACAAAATTATATTTAAACGGAAGGAATCGATTATTTATTAAGGATATTGGATTAAAAAAGTCATAACTTATATCACATCACATTGATGCACTCCTAAACGTCGTTTAAAAAGGGTATTAATCGGTTATTTGAATGCAAATGTACATACTCTCCAGATGAATGAAGAATGATATTGTGTATTATTTATCCATAAATAAATATTTTTTTTTTAATTATAGGCAAATCAAAATTATCATTTCATGTTTTATCCGCACATCTCTTGGTTATTACCTAATTCGGAATGTGCCCAACGTGAAGTTCCACGAACAAATAAAGTTATATTTAAGTGAATTAATTATCTGATCCATTCGGTGATTGGAAGAATTATATAAGTTTTTATATTTATATAATAACATTTATGCAGATTTCTTTCGCGTCTAAAACGAGAGAAAACATAATTATATTTGCATAATCACGTGTTATTTGATTGAATTTGCTAAATACATTTTTTATTAAATTAAAAATAAAAGAAGAATCCTGGGACTATACAACCGGATTTTATAACGCTTTTCAAAACTAATAAACAACTTAGTCTTGACCCAATATAAAAAAATATATATGCGCTACTGAGATAACTAAAGTTGCATAGGATTACCATCATTATTCTCATAGGTTACTCATCTTTTGAGAATTAGGTAATTCCTCACTTTAGTTCGATGAGT